CCCCCCCCCTCTCCTCCCCCCGGCTAATCAAGAGATCTTCTCCAATGTGCTTGCTTCAAAATGAAATTGTGATTGCTGCTCTTCTCCAACGCGGTGCCTCCGAAACGGAATTGGGATTCCTCGTGATCTTATTTCCTACCAACGTGGTCGCCGCACAACGAAATTGGGTTCGTTGAACTTTTTTCATGATAGTATTTTTTTCACACCAACTTTGTCGCTGTAAAACGAAATTTGGACATCTTTTCATTTAATTCCCCGTCTCTCACTCTTGCCCTTAGGTGGACGCCTCCGAGTCTCATTTTCGTCCATTCTGCTACCGTCTTCACCTGCATAGAACGCCCGGTAATTATTGCCGTACCTGGACTGAAAATTGCACCAAATACGGCTATGCTGACCGGGCGTTCTATTCGGGTGACGACGGCCAGTTCTTCCTTGGATTTGGAGTCCAGTTCTCGGAAGAATTACGAACGAAAAAAAAAAAAAAAAAATGGGTTTGTTGGACTTTTTTGTTCATCATAGTTTCAGAAATTGGGCATTTCACAAATTCACACCAACAAGGTCGCTGTAAAGCGAAATTGGGTATTTCACACCAACAAGGTCGCTGTAAAGCGAAATTGGGTTTGCTCATTCAACTTCATCATAGTTTGGTCTTTGTGTTATTGCACAACAAAAAACAAGCACTGAATGAACAAATGGATAGTCAAGTGGCTTTCGCACCTCCATCATGCTCAATGCCAATTTCTTTTTTTTTTTAATTCCTTTTTTTTTGGGCTCCTTTTTTTTTTGTTCCTTTTTTTTGTTGTTCCTTTTTTTTCTGGTTCCTCCTCGAGAGTGACCTTTTTTGGTTCCTTTTTTTATGGGTTCCTTTTTTTATGGGTTCCTTTTTTTTGTGTTCCTTTTTTTTTTTTGGTTCCCTTTTTTTTGGGTTCCTTTTTGTTTCGATGGGGTAGGGGCATCCCTACCATAAAAAATAGGTCAAATGACTCAAATCACTTTTGTCAAAACTTTACTATGATGCACAATGGGAGGGTTCGTTGAACTTTCCTCATCATAGTATTTCATGGTGCCCTACTAAACACAATCACCTCCCCAATTGTTATGATCTGCTTTTGACGACTCCCTCCGCACCTCGATGCCCATTTCTTTTTTTTTGTTTTGGGTTCCTTTTTTGGGATGTTTTAAGATTCCCATTTCTGGTCGATTCCTCCTGTCAAAAAGTTCATCAGTGTCCTTCCCGACATCCGTTAAAATTGGAATGATACAGATAAGATTAGCATGTAACAAAACAAAACAAAAAAGCCCAAACTCCCTCGCTCCCTGTCTTGCTCTTAGACTCTTCATGTCTGACGAATGCAGGCTCACGCACATGTCCTTGCCTTGTCTCCTTTTTCATTCTAGATGCACTGGACCGGTGCCACGGTTAGAGGTACAGGAGGAGCAAGAGGAGAAATGGGGGCTAGGGGTGTGGGAGGAAAAAGTGGAGAAGGGAATTCAATTAGGGTTGTGGAAGGAGTAAGGGGAGAAGAGCTCAATAGGAAAAGGATGCAAAGTAATACTAGAAACAAAGAAACAAAGAAACAAAGAAACAAACAAAGAAAGAAAGGAGTTCATGTGCCACATCGTCTAAGGGTAACTCTGGACGGCGGAATGGGCATTGGGATGTTTAAAAAAAAAAAAAAAAAAAAAAAACAAGAAAAATAAGGGTGTGTGCCTGACCTCAAAGAGTTTCCTGGTTTGGGGTTCGAGCCCCTTTCCCGCATCTATCAGCATAACTGCATTGTCAGCAGCAGCAAGCGTCCTGCATCACCTCCATGCAGCAGAAGGCATTTTATCATCATCAGTTGGAGTCAACTTGGCGATAAAAAAAAGTTCAATTGCGATAAAAACTTCCAAAAAGATGAATCAATATGACAGACAGGATCTCACCAATCTCTTCAATTGGCGATAAAACTTGATGATGTAAAGTTTTGGGAACACAGTTTACCGAATCACTTCATTCGGCAATTGGTATAAAGTCTTCAAAGTCTTCAAACACAGTTTCGTTCCTTTATACGATCTGCTGCCACCAGCTCCACTTCACGAAGTTCAACAGAAAGCGAAGATTCTTACATTTTGAAGATGAAGAAGACAAAGGAAGAAGAAGACAACAAAAAAGAAGAAGAAGAAGAAGAAGACAAACAAGAAGAAGAAGAAGAAGAAGAAGAAGAAGAAGAAGAAGAAGAAGAAGAAGAAGAAGAAGAAGAAGAAGAAGACCCAATCCTCTAAAGCAATAGACAATGGACGATAGGGGACTGGGCAGTAATGTCCCACACAATTGACACAGAACGAGTACTGGCCTACAAAGAAGGGGTAGAGGGCAAACATAATTGGATCACATTTACTATTCATACAATAGGGGCCAGATCCCACTAGCCCCTATTTTTCATTTCTGACCGTTGATCTTCGTAATCGAGGGTGAAAAATGAATAATCCAGGGTAGTGGGATCTGACCCTAGAAAATCCTCACAAGGACTATAGCAAAGTAAACAAGAATAACGAAGGACAGGTCACAGTCAGAGAAGACAATCTCAGAAAAGGAAGAGTAATAGAAAACGATGAACTAACCTTGTACAACCCCCAAACGGCTCTGGAAGATTTAGAGGTAGATCCAGCAGAATGGGCATGGAATCAAAAGCAGAGAACCTCTGGTATTACCCTGAAATCAACATCCTACCATACACCACAAGTCTCAGATATAAACTGAGGAGGAGATCAGCGAACCCGGACCCAGTCATAACAGAGAGATGGTACAATCACCTTCAAGTAGACCCAATAAACTTCAACCCGATCCCATGGAACCAGTAACCATAATCCACCCTCCTAAATTTAGAAGTCTGCAATGGCTTATTCTCTACCTTGCCGTCCCGCTTAACGAATGGTTAAACGTGAGGACAAGAAAAGAGGACACAAGTACACTAAAAGAACTTTGTTCCACGTGCAAAGAAGCACAGTTAGAGGACCTTTTCCACTGCTTCTTCAGATGTTCCAGAATACAACCCCTATGGCAAAGAATCAGGGTAATTTGGGAAAAAATAACCACTGTAGAATTCACAAACGATTTCGTACTACTACTACTACTAGGCTTCAACACGTCGGAAGATTGGACGCACGTAGAAACTAATCTCTTCCAAACTTCTAGGAAAGCCACAATTTGGGCCATCTGGAGGGAAAGATGCCAAGAAACAATAGAGAAACAAACAATGCACATCCAGGAAATTCAAGCCTGGAGTCTATTACAACAACAGGACGAAACAGAATACTGGACACTGTGGCGCAAAGTGAGAAGGAAAATGAGAAAGGAAGAGATCAAGGCAAAAGAACACAAAAATAACTTTGAAATTAACAATCTGGCAGAGGGTAAAATTGCAAAGATCAAAGGACATAGTCTGATCTTCACACTGTGGGAAAAAAACACAAACACACCACAAGCAGTATCCCACTCACTCGTCAGCACCCCTGAATCCACTTATATCCACATGAGCTCCTCTTAGAGAAGACCAATAAAGGAATTCCCTAGTAAATCACAGGCTAGTAAATTAACTGAGTATATACTTTAAAACTCACCAGCCAACTAGACCAAACACCCCCCCCAGCAGCACAACCCCACGACGATAGCTCAACAAAAACCCATACTAACAGATCGCAAGTTATACGGCAAACCCTCACAAAAACACTCCCAACCCCCCCCCCAAATCACCCATATTCCCCATAGCCGCCCCACACATGATGACACCTATTATCCCCACCCGAACCACTCGGAACCCCACGACGACAGCTCAATAAAACCCATACTAACAGATCGCAAGCTATACGGCAAACCCTCACAAAAAACATTCCCACCCCCCCCCAAATCACCCATATCCCCCATAGCCGCCCCACACATGACGACACCTATTATCCCCACCCGAACCACCCGGAACCCAACCCTTACCACCCCATCCACGACGAATCACACCCGAACACAACAACCACATCCCACAACCCAGACAAGCAATTATCTTTCAATAACACTTTCCTAAACCAGTAAAGGAACACCAATCCCGCCCTACAAATAATTCCCTAAAACGACACTTCCCTCTAGTAACATGTCTAAAATCTAGGATATAGACCATGGACCCTAGAAAGAGACGACAAACAGAGTTACAGTAGACCAGCCAAGTAGCTAGGTATTGAAAGTTAATATAAATTAGAGTACGCTGTTAAAGTAACTGAGGAAGTGAGGATAGAGTTTAAACCCAGACACCGACACTAGCAACTAGTTCAGAGAACATTCTGAATCCTTCAAGACAGACTACCAAGGGTCAAGACTGCAGTTCTAGTACTAACAGGGTCTCAGACAGTCACGGAGCTGAGAGAAACAGGTCAGACAAGGCCCTACTAAGAAAGTCGTCACAGTCCACAAACCTTTTAGTCCCCAAGTCGTAAATCTAAATCAGGCTAACTTAGGCAGGGGTGAAGGGCGGTACATCCTTCCGGAGTGAAGTAATCAATGCCGTCCCTCGGGCCTCCAACCATAAGGGGGAGGATCGTAGAGTAAGTACTTATTGTAACCTTTTCTGACTTGCCGGTGGAATAGGAACCGGACTGATGCTCCCCAGAATGGAAAAGGAGCCAGAGCCCTAAGGTTCTGTTTTATAATAATAAAAAAAAGAAGAAGAAGAAGAAGAAGAAGAGTACGAGGATGACAAGACTGAAAAAAGAAAAAAAAGAAAACAAACCTGGAGAGAAAGCACATGTGAACCCTTGCTGAGCCTGAGATTGTTTCTAGGCCATGCTGGCCTCATGCGGTGGGATCTTCTTCGACGATTGGTCCGACGGTAGGGCCGCTTTTTGTTTCTTCTTCCTGTTGACGACAACAGGATCTGAACCTCTGTGCGGTAAGAAGGACAGCGTGTATGCTGTAAGAAGTCTCTTTTCTGTTAGGGGTTGGGTAGCGCGGTTTCGAACGGGAGCTATTGATATTCGATGATAATATCAATAGCTCGAAACCAAGTGCGCTTAGTAATAAGACGTTCTTGGTAACTCTTTGACTTTGACCGACGGGAGCTATTGATAATTTGATATTCAATGGACCTGCGGGGACTTGGTTTCGAGCTTATGCCCTTCGCGCGGGCCTTCGCTAATAGTACTGTCCCAGGTAAGATAATAAGCTCATATTTTGAAGTTTTGTAGGGTAACTTGCCTGTTGTTAACTTGTTAGGTTTTTTAACCTTTTTGAACCTTTCGTCTTTTGGTGCGCCTTTGACGTTTTGAGTACGTTTTTAACTTTTCGTATGCCTTCTGGTGAAATTTGGCGGCGGAAGTAACTCTTGTGTAACCGGTGCTTTCCAGACTGTTCAGTCCTCACTGGCGGTATATAAGTCTTCTATCACGGTAAGCACCGACAGAAGATCCCGGATGAGACTGGCATGGCGGCCAGTCGAAAGCAGTCGGGTCCTTGCACCGCTTTCTGACCAGGAGCGATGTATTTTTCACTCTGGTCAAGTCGCGTTCGGTTTTTTTACCTCGGGTTTACCGTGTGCTTTCTGTCTTCCATCTTCACCTTCCTTCCACGCCTTCTTGAGGAATGTGCGCGTTGCTGAGTAATTGTACGAGCGGGTGTGGAATGGAAAGCTTGAGAAGCATGTACTGAAAGCAGTTTGGCCACTGTTTGTCACTATTCTTCTTTTCTTCTTCTTCCTCTTCCTCTTCCTCTTCTTCTTCTTCCTCCTCCTCTTCTTCTTCTTCTTCTTCTTCTTCTTCTTCTTCTTCTTCTTCTTCTTCTTCTTCTTCTTCTGTGTCCATCTTTGATGCGTGCGGTCTTCATGAGCGTCTGTTTGAATCTCATTTGAGTCCAGCAAACACACACACACAATATTCTCTATATTGCCCTTATTGATGCCTATTAGCAATTTCATAAGTTTAGCATCGTCAACTATTTTGGCTATTGGCTATGTTGACTACTTACTGGTTGTCATTGGCTATTGGCTGTTTGCTATTGGGTGTTGGATCCTCTTATTCATTTGGGTGGTTGAGTGAGTTGAATTGGGTCGTTGTTGGCCAGTTGTGAGACCAAGTTTGGTGGTAGGCATTCGGGTTAGTTCAGTTCTGGGG